AAAAAAAAAAAAATAAGAAAAGCTCCTGAAGCAACAGCAAAAAAAAAATACTCAAGGAAAAAAAATGAAAGCTACACTGATTGTTGTAGAAAAAAATAGCTTTTCAAAAAAGTCAACGAATTCAAGCAAAAGTAAGAGAACTTAAGCAAAAAATTTAATACATGCATGTCACTTGAAAGTATTATCTATTTTAACAACATTTATTAAACTGCATGACAATAATTCGATAACTGATTAATATTTTAACATTTTTTTTTGTTTAGCTGAAAATTTCTTTACATCACTTATTTTTTGCAACATTATGTTACATTATGTTACAGTCATAATATTCATTTAATAATCTTAATATTTTAATAGTGGTAATAAGGTCACGTAATTGCAGTAACTACATCAAGTTACACGGTAACCAATGCGTCTGGCTTTTACATTCTGAACTTGTTTTGGAAAATAACATTTCCATTTAAAACAATAAAATAGATATCTTTAAATACCCAATGGTACCTACTATTGATTAAAACGACTGATAGTTCATTTCTTAAAGATTGAAAGATTTCAATTTACTCTTTAGGCCAGGTTCTTGTTATAGCTCACGGTAGCTTGCTACTTTGTCTAATAGATTAAAATTGGCTGTTAAAATTTTTAAAATGGCCTTTGTAAGCTTTTTTTCTGTTAAATGGCCAAAACAGTGATATTTAAATTTTACTGACGCTAAAAATCGATTATCTGTAAAACTCGCTGATTGTTTAGCATAATACCAGGAATATTAATTAAAGCTTTTTTGTTCACTATTTAATAGAGAATATTATTGATTCTGCTAGAGGCAAGTAAATAAAAAATAGCAATTGTATACATACTTAGGAATGATAAGAAACTGCATATGTGTGGTACTTTAATAATAACGTAGAACCAAAACATAGTAGCAAATAGAAGCATGTTTTCGTACGAACAAATTGTTCTTCTAGTATTGTTAAATGAAATATAATTTTAACAGTAAGATATGCCTTACAGACATAAAAAGATATTTTACATTAACTGGAATAAAAAAACATAATTTTTCTAAAACTTTGCGGACAAGTTGTTCAAGGTAAAAAAAACTTATCCCTTTACTTTCAGAGCTCAAATTTATATTGTGTTCTTATCAGAAGATTGTTGGACACGCACAAACGATCACATGATTGATATGTTTTAAAAATTACCAAACTTGCAAATTTCATGAGCAATTATAGAAATAAAAAAACAGCAATGAGTCACAGGCTCCATGGAAAAAGAGGAGCTGCTACATTAAACTATAAGGTTTTTTGGACATTGCTTATTCACAATAAATAATTCAAAGATATCAAAACCTACTAATAATTTATCATTATTTTGTATTCATAAGAATTCACTGCATGCACTTCTACAGTTCCATTTTACAAGATTTTGTATTTTACAGGATCATATATAAAGTATTGAGCGTTGCTCTTTACCAAAAAAATTTTTTGTGTAATATAACATTTACATTTTTGGGCCATTTAGTAAAATCACGTTTACACATTTCGTCGAAAGGACTCTTGTGGTACTTTTCCAGGAAATTAAGGAATGATACTCTTTTGCTACGTGGCTGATGATCCACTGGGGCCTTAATAATTGTATTGACGTAAAGTATTAAGCATTTTGAGGCAAGGAAGCTAAAAGAAGTCCAGGGGGCCCACATCTGGGCTGTAGGGTGGCTGCCTTGGTCAGGTAGATGATCACAAGAAAGGTGGCATGAGCCGGGGCGTTGTTGTGGTGTCACTTCCAGCTGGCAGCAGCGTCGGCTTAATAAATTCAATATCTTAGCAATTAAACAATACTAACTTTACGGTCTGAGTTCAAAACTTGGCGCACGATTCACATTGTCAGTGATTGTTGACGTCAAAGTTCTTCCAGCATGGAGTTCATCGGCGACCTCTTCCCGGCTCTCCAAAAAGGCCTGGCACCACTGGTACACACTACTTCTTACTAAAGCAACATCTAAGTTAGCCTGTTTGATCATAGCAAACGTCTCTATTGCAGATTTACCAAGTTTCACACATAACTTAATCGCTTACCTCTGCTCTAACGAACACTGCATTTTCGGCTTGCACAACTCACAGAAACACGTCACCCGAAAATGCCTGTCCTGACTCTTCAGGTGCTTGAAGAAATCTGACCAGCTGCTCGTTCATTAGCTAGAAATGCCCTCTACCGAATCGAGTTCATGCGTGCATGCTCTAAAGTATAGCCGTGGTGGAAGGAAATCGGTCCCATTACTTCCGTGACAAACCCTATAAGTAAGTTGATTGTTACAGCTTGTACATGTTGTTTTTGCCAGTTTTCATTGACTTACAAGAAAGACTAGGAAAAGCACCACGTATCAACATTATTTTATCCACTTATTGCTGTCATATTTACTATTTGTTATACTGATACAATATATTTTACTTGCACCAAAAACCACTTTAAAAAAAAAATCTGTTTATTGCACGTAAATCTTTCATTACTTTCGTCATTATTATCACAAAAAAGCATCTTAATTTTTTGAAGAGAAAAGAACGCCCTTCAAAGAGCTGCTATATATTAAAAATATGTATATGTATATATAGGTGTATATAGACATACGAGGATGACTTAGCCATGTGCACAGGATACAAGGGATACAAGTAGGAAAATTTCTGACTGCAATGCTATAAAGTACTTCTGAGCTCGATCAAATAGATAAACAAAAATTATATAAGGTTAATATCTCTATTGTGAGACAGGGTTAAGCGTACTAAAAAGTAAATTAAGCTATTCACAACTAAAAAATACATATAAGTAGGAAATTTTTTGTATTACAATATGAAATGACGTGTTCTAGCAGAAAAAAATTAATTTTAGTGTATAAATAAGATTGCAATAATAATTTAATTTGGAATAATGGAGAAAAATATAAGGTACCGATTAATGGTACATTAAAAAATAGCATGGCCCAGTTGTTCCACTCAGTTAGTTGTGTTTTATGGGACATACGAAACTGTTATATTTAATCTGAGGTGATAAAAAAAATATGTTGTAGCTCGTAAAAAGTAATAATAAGTTTTATAATATAAAAGAGTTTATCTCACAAAATTATAATCTTCTATAATTTAACAAAATAAGCTGATAGGAAGATGAAAATAAAGATTTCAAATAATTGTCGGAAATAATAATAATTCCTAGTGATATTTAAACTCAATTTACTCATCAATAAAATTAACGTTATAATTTAAAGAAATAAATAGTGTGATGCACGATAATAAACTTTAAATTTTAACAAACAACAAGAAACTAGGAGAACAAAATCTATTCATCATATTATGCCTACTTTTCTTGTTTAATTCTTTTTTTAATATC